TCTGGAGTGATCATCGATAAAAGTCACGAAGTATTGCTTCCCACCAACGGATGGGATAGTCGTTGGACCCCAAACATCGGAGTGGACGAGCTCAAGCTTCTCCTTCTTTGGGGTTCTTCTACTTGTCTGAAAGCTGACCCTCTTCTGCTTTCCAAGTATACAACCTTCACACATGTCAATTTCTATTGACTGGAGGCCTGGTAATTTTCCTTTTGAGTGAATGATCTTCATCTCTTTTTCACTCATATGCCCAAGTCTTTGGTGCCACAGATTGGGACTTTAATTTGTTGCAACTGCAATCAAATGACACGCTCCTTTGGTCTTGTAAAGAGTACCAATCTTTTTGCCTCGAGCAATTGTCATCGCACCCTTTGAAATCTTCCAATCATCGCCATGGAAGATTGTCGTGTAGCCTTCACTGGCTAGCTGGCCTACGGAGATTAAATTCTTCGTCAGGTCGGGAATATGTCTGACATTTTTCAATTCCCAAACAGACCCGTTCAACTTGATTTTTACTGCACCTTTGTCGACAACCTCACATGATTAAATCGCTCATTACCAAGGTAAACTTTACCAAGATTTCCAGGAACATAATTCTCGAATAGTTCCTTCTGTGAGGTAGCATGAAAGGATGCTCCAGAGTCTAACACCCAAGACTCTTCTCTGTTCTCTAAAGAACATATCAGCGTATCTCCTCCAGAGGTTGAAGCAATATTTGCCTCTTCTTTTGCCTCCTGACCCTTCGGTGAACTCTTGCACTGATTTCTGTAGTGCCCAGTCTTCCCACAATTCCAGCACTCGATCGACTTCGAGTTTTGGGAATTACGATGATTTCTGGACCTGGATCTTCTTCCCTTTGGTTTGATATGTCTGCTTTCTTTGGTTGAACTTCTTCCTCTCGTCTCTGTATGCAATATAGAAGAGGTTGATGGTTCACCCGACTCCCTCCGCCGGATCTCTTCACTGAGAACCAAATTTTGGACATCATCAAATCTCAACTTATTGCTTCCCGATGAGCTACTCACAGCCGTGACCGTAGCATTCCAACTTTCTGGTAGGGAAGACAAAAGTATTAAAGCCCGTACTTCATCATCGAACTCGATCTCAACTGAACTCAATTGGGTTGTAACGGTGTTGAGCTCATTGAGATGATGTGCCACCGAAGCACCTTCGGTCATACGCAAGTTGAACAATCGCCTCATCAAATGAACTTTGTTTGAGGCTGATGGTTTCTCGTACATGTTGGAAAGAGCCTTCATGAAGCCTGCTGTCGTCTTTTCTTTTGCAATGTTAAAAGCAACATTACGGGATAACGTCAGCCGAATGGCTCCAAGGGCTTGTCTGTCAAGGAGACTCCATTCTTCCTCCTTCATGTCCTATGGCTTCTTTCCCGTGAGTGGTTGATACATATTCTTTTGGTACAGATAATCCTCGATCTGCATCTTCCAGAAGCCAAAGTCCGCACCATCGAACTTTTCGATTTTCATTTTTCCTTCTTCTGCAGCCATCACTTCGTCTCTGATCTGACTTCTCTGCCGGATCGTTTCTGTAATTTTTGTGAACTACCGTGTTTCAGAACACGTCGGTAGATAAATTTGTAGCGCCGACAAATTTGGCACTATTCCCGTTTTTCACTATTCACGGAATAGTAACCCATAAAAAAAAATACAGAATTAACAATCTGGCTCTGATACCAGTTGTTGGGAAAAATACGCTGAAATTTCCATGAAGTCGGATCTATAAAAGTGAAATAAAAAAAATTGGACACACCCAATTGATAACGGAGTTCGGCCAATAAAGCCTATGTCTCCGGACTACTGCAGATATTTTATTTGGAAAAAGAAATACACCCGTGTTTACAAAACACTCTCAAACTCACTCACAACTCACAACTCAAATACACACAGAAGGTAAATTATTAGCTTACTCTCTCTTTTTCTTTCTTCTTGTATTTTGTTGTTCTCTGAGATGTATTTTTGGCATCAAAATCTCCCTCTATTTATAGAAGGGAAAGTGCACTAATTTTTCCACAAACGTGTACTGATCAACATCACACCAAACCCATCTGCTGCCATTTTCAATAATGGAGGGCTGTCACTTTTGTCAAAATTTGTGGATGAGTTAGTTGGCTCTTTTTCCAAAATTTGTGGCTAACAGATTAATGCTCAAATTTGTCAATTGGACAATAATATGTTTGGTTCGCATAATTTTTATAAAGCCATCGAATAACTATCTTATGAAGTCATTCATAATTTTATGTATTGACACATGTTTAATGTGTATTTATTGCAGTACACGTATCAATACATAATTTCATTTCGTCATATTCATATGCATGCATGCATGCATGGATTTAATTTCATAACATCCTGTTTAATTTGATTACCGTAACTTATTACTTAGTCATTAATATACATTAATTTAATTTCACAATAATAACTCAATTATGTAGCATTTAAGTCGCACAAAATTCAGCAATTAATATACATAACTTTAATTTAATTTGTAATACTATCTTTAATTTAAATAATGTTGGAAGCATTGTTAATTAGCACCTATAAAAACCCCCCTCATCTCTCCATCCTCTCCATCACCAAACATAATATTTTTTTTTTTTAAAAAAAAACGTACACACACACACACACTTGCATATATACAGAAAAGATGACAACCAAACTCGGCCTCTTCCTCTCCTTAGTCACCATAATCATCTTTGCCCTATCCGTATTCTCAGCCCCAGCCCGCCCGATCCAGTTCGGGCCGACCCCAAAAGCCAATCACTATAAATATCGTTTCATAAACCGCCACCTGTCGTCCGGCGGCCACCACCATGCGGCGGGCCCTTCGTCCCGTGGCCAACACTAAATAGACGAATATTAGGACTCAAAAATTCCGGTGCAAATTCGTGATGATATGGCCGTCTTAATTGATTTGTGTGATGTTAATACTTAATGTGTAATTAATTACATGCAATTGGCACATGATAAGAAATTAAGAATAAAATTAAGCGGCAATTATATATTTCTTGGTTTATTATTGACTGATCGTCGTCACTCGTCATGCATACTTGTTAAAATTGTAAGTTATTACTGCAATTTTTTTTTATTTTTTATTTTTTTTTTCTTTCTCTTTGCCAAATAAATTTCAACAATGTTTAAAGTTTCATTCAATCCAATTTTCAAAATTTTGATTTAAAACATTATAATGAATGTCAAACGTGCAAATTGCAATAGCCAATTATTTTCATAAAGTCTGTCGTTTCGAAAAAAAAAAAGTCTATAGCTTAATAGAATTTTAACCGAAAATGTTTAATATTTTTTTTTTATAATCATATGAATCATAAATTATTAAATAGTAATATTCACAATTGTATCGTAAAATAAAGTTAGCTGAGACCTATTGAAAAATAGAATATAAAAGTCAAACTTAAATTGACACATGAACGATGTCCACCGACCATTCGCGAGCCCGCAACTCACGTATTGCCTGTACGAGGCTATCATGGATTCCCCCATCATCCTCACGTCCCAAAATCATACTGACCACGCTGTTGTTGTCAGTTTCCGCCACAACTTGACGAGCACCTAAAAATTTAGTTGCACTCGGTCCGCGTATAAGCTACGCCAAGAAAATTATGGTGAAGTCATTGACGAATCCCATCCCTATCCGATGGATCATGTAAGACGTGATAAATAAGGGAGGTTATTAAATAAGGGAGGTTATTTTAGCAATAAATAGAGGTTACACGTCAACTTCCTACTCAAATGGTGTGTTATTCGGCCTCATATATTAGTACAAATCTGAAATTATATGACCCATATAAAAACTTTCCCACTGCACGTACGTACATACTGCCTGTTAAAAATTGCAAACACATACTCAATTATGGGTTTTTTTCTGTAAAATGGACTATCCCATTTTTCGAAAAAACTACCCCATATTTTAACTATATTTAAAAGCCGAACCCTCAACATGTATATCGTAAATGCTCTAAATAGGCTGAAAAGTTATAAATCTACATTTCAATGTCCAAAAAACAATAGTCTAAATAATCGAGAACAAAACGAAACAAGAAAAAAGAAAAACAATAGTACTATAAACTATTTATTTACAATTATACATGGGCTCAAGCTTTGTGAGGTGGCAGCAGCCACTTAGCACCCTCCACGTAAGCAAGGCTGAGGAATGACTTGGCTTCCCCATCGCTCAACTTCTTGGCAAATGGGACCCGCTTCTCGAAACTCGCCCCTGGCCCTTTGTTGTTATACTCTCCAAAATACACCGTCCTGCAATTACAAACAATTAATTAATAAATTAATTAACAATTAATTGGGTAATTAGGATAATTAAAGTACATTGTCCTCATGAGTACGTACCTGTCAGTTGACGGTTGGTGGTTATCGGACCATCCCTCGGGATTAACAGCGTCGCTAAGTTCCGAGTAGGCGTAGACCACACGGGGGCTTGGGAACCACGAGCGGCCCAGGTAGGCCGTCCCGCCAGTGCCCGTCACCTTGCAGTGGGCAAACACGAAGCCGGTTGGCTCGTCGGCCTTTGACCTCGCATGCGCCGTGATCATCGCCATCGGGTCCCCTGGGATCACGTGTAATTCCGAATTCTACAAGAAATACACGTTGATGTTCGAATTCATATTCAGTGAAGATCACAGTAGAGAGTTTGATAAGAAGTCTTCTTCAATCAAATCGAATCAAATCCTAATACAGTAATACTTATATGGAAATAAGTAATTTGACCTTACGGCGAAGTAGAAACCCATAATTTTTCGACAAATATGCATAATTTTAAATTGAATACCACAAGGGCCCGCCCGTCTAATAAAATTACGTACCAGGTAAAGAGATGTGCCACTACCGAAGATGAAATCGACCGTGCCCTCGATATAGCAGTCCTTAAATAGGTGCTTGCCCTTATCGTCGCAAATCGTGTCCTGAAAGCCGTAGAATTTACAGTTGTAGAATGCCGCCGCATTGCCGCTGATCCTCAGTGCCACCGCCTGAGCCCCTTTTCTCAAGCCGTCTGGCCTCGGTGCCGAATTCTAAAAGCACAAACAACAAAAAACAGACGGTCAGAAAATTATTCTTTTTCAATAGATATGCATATTTTCGTACTGTAGTAATAAATGTATGGTGGATTGACCCGTTTAACGATTAGGCGGTCTCAATAGAGAATTTTTTGTTTTAAAAAAAAAAGGAAATGAAAAAAAAAATCAAGATTCTGCATTATAACAAACAAGAATCAAGAAACAGGCGTGTACGAACCACGACTTTCAGGTTCACGGCGGTGAAGAAGTCGGACAAGACTATGAGGGTGGCGCTGTCCACTGTCCCGTACTTCGCCGCCGTGCCGCCGTACACCAGCGCCGGCGGGTTCTTGGGGTCTCCGTACAGCGTGACGTACGGTTTAGTCCTGGGTATGGTGACCTTCTCGGTGTAGTTCCCGGGCCCGATCGAGATGACGACCCGGTTCGTGTTACCGTCAGGCACGCTCTTGACGGCGTCGGTAACGGTCTTGAAGTCCCCACCGCCGCCCTCGGCGACCCTGATCACGGTGGCCTTGCCTTCCGCGGCGGCCAGCGGCGGATCGACGGAGGAGGAGCGGGGGCCGGAGGCGCCGATCTGGCGGTCAAACCAGCTGTTCAGCTGGGAGGCGTCGACGGGGATGGGCTCGTAGGCGGCGCCACGAGAGATGGGGAGGAGGAGGAGTACGGCGGCCGCGAGGGCTGCCGGTAAAAAAGCTTGCGTTATTTTATACATATATATTGTTTTCTATTTGTATTGTTTTTGTTAGAGATTTGAATATTGTCGTTATATGGAAGGAGAGGACTATATATGTATTTGATTTAGATTTTTATTTTAGAAAGAAAAAAAGAGACCGTCAAATAGAAAAAGTAAAAAAATTCAGTGGATAGACCGAAATTTTAGTTGGATATTTTTTTATTGGTGTTGTATTTATTTGTTTATGGTGTTGTATTAATTTGTTTTCCCTTTTTCATACTAAACCAATCTTTAACCATCGACCGATTACGATCGTCAACACAGTACTAATTTTCGATAAAAAAAAAAGTATTGCACAAAAATAAATGTCAAGAAATATCATATTTAAGATAATAAAAATATTTTTTATATTTCATAAAGTTATAGAATGTTTAATTTATATGTATACATTCATATTCTAAATTCCTAAATATGAATTTAAAATAATAGAAATTAACGAAACGAGAGTCATTGACTCTATAAATATAAAATATAATCACAATATAAAAAAATAATTAAAAAAATTGAATAAATTTTACGGAATTATAAATAATATTTATTAAGAAAATTATAATTTTAGAAATATAATTAAAAAATTACCATTTTTTACTAACTGAGTGTGAAATACAAGTGCTGGATTGAATAAATACAACTCTCATTTATTTATTTAATAATAATAATTATAATAATAACAATAAATTCATAATAAAAATATGAATTTATTGTACATTTTTTTATTGTACTAATATTTATATTCTTAAGATCTACAAACAGACAAATTAAATGAGCTCCCAAAAGTAAAGAAATAAATAATATTAGTGTTGTAATATAGATTGTCAATATGTGAGATAGACAAGATAGACAAAAGAGAAAGTAGTAAAAGAGAAAAAGAGAGAAGAGATACGCCGTCAAAAAACTTTCATCTTATTCATTCACTTGAGCCCTATATATAAGGGAATACAATGTACATGACTAAAGACCTAATGGGCTCCTGGCCCATACCTACAAATCCTATATCTAGGTAATGTCCATAAATTAATATTTACAACACTCCCCCTTGGACATTACCGCATCATGTTTATGCCTCGTTAAAAACCTCGCTGCAAAACCTGTAGGAAAAAGCAGTCGAGGAAAAGAGTACATAACATATGCAAATTTATGTGTTACACATGCTGCCTCGTTAAAAACCTCACTAAGTAAAACCCAATGAAAAAAAACTTAGTCAAGGGAAAAAGAGTACATCACGGGCCAACAGGGCTTAATTTTCAGGATTATAATTAACCTTCCGGGTTCGATCTTCGAGATTTATTTATCGCTCCCCCTGAAGGGAAAACCTTTTTAGTTACATTCATAATTGTATGTTGCTCCCCCTCAAGGTAAGAGTTTCTAACATAAAATCATCATTTGTTGCTCTTCGGGAGTTGATATAGATTCAAAAATATCATCAAACGTATTTATATAATTTATTTGTGTAACACAAACTAAGTTATCTTCAGGATAAATATGGGGAAATTTCAATAACCAATGGTAAAGTTAATACCATTTGAGAGGTATATAACCAATTGAGGACCCATACTTCGGGGATCAATTATACAATTGATGTCCTTATCCACCAATATCATATATCAAGTCCAAAGATAACTCAACATACATGAAGAATAATGGGATATTCTCAATATTTATCACGATATATCTCTAAGGAGAGATTTAGTAAATCTTGCCAGCAAATTCATCACAAATTCAGTATCAGGCC